TATTTTCTTTCAATATTTTGAATATGTCATCACATTCTCTCCTGGCCTGAAAAATTTCTGTTGATAAATCTGCTAATAGTCTTATGGTGGTTCCCTTGTATGTAACTTCTCTCTTTTCTCTTGATGCTCTTAAAATTTTTTCATTGTCTTTGTCTTTTGACAATTTTAATTAAATTACTATGTCTCAGTGTAGCCCTATTTAAGTTTAACCTCTTTAGAATCTTTTGGGCCTCATGGATCTGGATGTCCATATCTCTCCCCAGGTTCAGGAATTTTTTAGCTATACTATTTTACATATACTTTCTGCCCCTTTTTCTTTCTCTTTTTTTCTGGCATTTTCATAATGTGCATATTGTTTGTTTTTATTCTATTCTATAATTTATGTAGACTTTCTTCACTCTTTTTCATTATTTTTTTCTTTTTCCTTTTCTGACTGGTAATTTTCAATGTCTTATCCTTTAGGTGAGTGATTTTTTTCCTTTTTTGCATGGTCAAGTCTTCTTTTAAAACTCCCTGTTGAGTTATTCAACTCAGTTATTGTATTTTTCAACTCTAAAATTTCTATTTAATTGCTTTTTAGATGGTAGCTATTTCTTTTTTTTTTTTTTTTAAGATTTTATTTATTTATTTGAGAGAGAGAGAATGAGAGACAGAGAGCATGAGAGGGAAGAGGGCAGAGGGAGAAGCAGACCCCCTGCCGAGCAGGGAGCCCGATGTGGGACTCGATCCCGGGACTCCAGGATCATGACCTGAGCCGAAGGCAGTCGCTTAACCAACTGAGCCACCCAGGCGCCCAGATGGTAGCTATTTCTTTATCAAACTTCTCATTTTGTTCATGCACTGCTTTTCTAATTTTATTTAGTTGTGTGTCTGTATTTTCTTGTAATTCACTAGACTTCTTTAGATGATTATTATGAACTCTTTGTTTGGCAGTTCTTAGATCTCCATTTATTTAGGGTCAGTTATTGGAACTTTATTAATTTCCTTTGGTGATGTCATATTTACCTGATTTTTTGTGTGTGTGATCTTTGTATCCTTATTAATTCTATCTGGTTATTTGAATAATTGGGCTCCTCTTCTAGACTTTACAAGTTTTCTGTGGTAGAGACAGCTCTTCAACAGTCAGCTCAGTTCGGGTTTCCGGGTGTCTTCTGGTAATGTCCTTGGGCAGGTGGGGCCTGCTATTATGCTCTATTTTTGGGCAAGCTCTGAAGGGGGTGTGCAGGTTAAGTGCCACTGGCTGAAAACAGTTGGATAGTATTATGGGCTTTGTTCCCTACCCAACTGAAGCTGTAGGATGGGCTCCATGCTTGCCTGGATTCTCTGGTGAGGCTTACTAGATGGTCAGGACTGGGTTTAATATTTGGTAGTGGGTAGAGCTATGAATTGACTTCCCTGACTTGGCAGGGCAGTTAGGATGGGACTCAGGACCTTTAGAATTTATTTTGGGGACCTGAATCAAGCCAAAGTGTGCACTGAATTAATTCCCTGATCCAGTGAGATAACTGGTTGTGCTCTACAGATAGGGGAAGCCACAGGCTGTTCTCTCTGTTCAAGTACCACTGTATGTAGGACTCTAGAATGAGCTATGCAGCTTCCCACATGCTCTGGTTAGGTTCCTTGGTTGGACAGACTGAAAATTGTATTCAGAGATAAGTGGGGTTACAAATTAGATTCTGTGCCCAGGAGCAGTGGGAGAAGCAGCTCTAAAGCCATAAAGCTTTTTATTTGTTGTCTTAACTCAAGACAACCCCCACCCCAAGTTTCCTGAATAAACATGGCCACTAGGTTTGTTCTGCAAACTGATTGGCTCTGCCTGCCCACCTCTCAGCTGAAGTGCCACAGGGCCACACAGCTTCCTGGAATTGCCAGCCGTTCAGGTTGGATGGAGCTGGAAGACACTCTCTACAGTATATCTCAGCTCCCTTGCCCAGGCAGTAGGGGAGGGGCTGCTCTAGGCTACTCTCCATTTCCCAAACAGGTTCTCTGGTTGAGAGGAATGGGAGCTAACCTCACCCTTGTCTGTGAATTAATCCCCTTGTCTGTGTCTAGCATGGGAACACTTTATACTGGCTTTGCTCTGGGGGTGATCCGCTCTGTCTGCCAGACTCTTAGTTTGAGTACCATAAGTCTGCAAAGCTTCCAGGAATTGTCATCAGAAGATATTCTTGGCTCCCTTGCCTAGGCAGGAGGAGAAGGTGCCACTGCAGGGTAGCCTCAATTTCTCAAACAGGCTTTCTGGTTGAGAAGGGCTGGGAACTACTCTCTCTTAATTTAATGACCTTGTTTACTTGAGAAACACCCATTAAGTAGGGTGATCATGTCATTCCCTCAGTTGTTCTTCTCTGCAGCTCTTCCTGTCATTGCCAGTGCCTTTACCAGCTGACTTCTCTTCTTGCTCCCCTGAATGGTTTTGTGCCTTAAGGTTCAGCCTTCAGTCATCCCTTTTTCTCACTACATGCACTTGCTTTCAGTGAATTCATGTATCTCTTTGACTTCAACTATTAGCCAATGATTTCCAAAAATATACTTTTACAGCCTTAATATCTCTCCTGAAATCTAGACTCATGTGTTGAACTGTTTTCTTAATATTTTAAGACATTTCAAAAACAAAATGGTTAGAACTAAACTCATCATCCTTGACTAAAATCCCTCCTTCTTTATACTCCAGATAGTTAATGGTCCATAATTTACTGCTTTTTACCTGAAATTCCTGTCTTTCATCATCTCAATTCTAAATTATATCTAATTCCATTACTAAGGCTAGGTAATTCCATTTAATAAATAGCCCTTTACCCTAAATAATTTTCTTTGGAGTCCAGATTCTCTTCTCTAGTCATCTGTTTCTATTTTGACCTAGATTCTCTTTATTATTTTATTTTCCTAAAATATTAAAATAACCTCCAAACAAGTTAGTTTCCTTATTAAGTTTCCACCTTCTAGTACATTCTCTACTTCGACATCCAGTACACTTTCTAAAAATCAAATAGAATCATGTCACTCTCTTACAATAGGTATATTTAATGTGGCTTCTTTCTGCACTAAGAATTAAGTTTAGTCTCTCTAGCTGACTTTTTAAAATATATCTGTGGAAAAAAATAATAAAATAAAATAAATTTGTGGTATGTAAAAATTTAAATCTATTCTTGTGCATGATCTCTAAACCAAAAAATTTCCAAAAAGACACAGAAAAGGAACTATTGTACTTAACCATAACCATAGGTAAATGCTGTATTTACCACCTAGAAAATGTAGTGGTTTTCTAGAGTTTTTCTAGTAATATAACTGATTCTTTCTGAGGAATGTCTTTTGTTAATAGGTGTCAAATATGAAATTTGTCCTCAAATGCAACAAAGGTAGACTGAAAGTGAATAAAATCAGAACAGTTGTCCTATGATCCATGTCTTATGTATTTGGCTTCATTCTCTGTGAAACTGAATTTATTTTTCAGTTTTGAATGGGTGAGGTATGCCTATAATGGGACCATGTTAGTGTTTGTAGGCATCTTCAGTCCTCTCCATCCACCCAAAAATGCATACTCACTCACACAGAGAGTTGACATTTATTTTGTTAATTATTCACCATAGTGTGCTGAGCTGTTGTTTTGCTAGGATTTACCCATATTGCCTTATTTAGGTCTCCTTTTCAATTTTTAAGATAACTGATCAAGATTAGGGGTTGGGTTTTTGGTGAAGAAATATGAGGAAGTTAACAAAGTCCTTGTGTCCAAGTCCCACATGCATGGCAGTCTTTCATAGATATTATCCCACTAATGCTAATGAATTTGTCATAGAATGTGGTTCCATGAATATGTGTCTGTCCTTATCAGAAGAGACTTCTAAATTTAAATAGTCAAAAAAATAGAAAGCATTATCTTAATTCAAAATATAATTTTCAAATCGATGGATTTGGTCTAATTGATAGCACAATGACCTTTACCCCAGGCTTTTATTCTTGGTTGTATCCTGAGTAGCCAATGTGTATTTATCTGCAACTTTATTATAATATTTTCTAAAGATTCAAGATGCTTTCTGGATTTAATTTTTGCTAGATGATCTTGAAAAACCCGAGCAGAATTACAAATGAAGCTGCTTTGTTAAAACAACAAAGACTTAGGCTGTGGAATTGTAAAGTTGCATTATTCCAAACCAAACTTGATTGTCACTATCTCTTTAAACAACATTGGGCAGACATTTAAAGATTTTTTATACATTTTAATTCAGGTGGTAACTTGACTTAAAACAACACATTCTTGGTCATATATATCAGGCTAAATATCAAAATGAATTTGAAACTATTGAGAGTGTCTGCAGAGGATATTGAATTCTTGGAGAGGCTTTCTCTCCCCCATGCTGATTTTCATCATTTTACTGTTACTTTCATTTCCCTTTGAGCTTTAGCTTTTTAGAATTATTATTCATTCTTTTCACCATATACCCTGATCATTAACCAATTAAAACTTTATCAGGCAGAGAAGCAAGACACTCTATGGATAATGATGAGGTTGGAAACTCTCTTGTACAACTTGTTGGCTCATATTGGAAGAGTGTCATGCCAAATTATCTTTATGTGCTCATGAATAATGTTCTAACAAGGGTGGATGGAGAGATGAGCATAAAGCGTAGTTCTAATGGAAGGAATAATAATAATATTCACTTTGGCAACACATGCTAATGCCTTGACAAGATGCTATCTGCTCTTGCTATTAAATTAGATGCATATTAAGTTAGCAGACCCTATTGCTATCTACTATTTTACAGAATGAACTAGAAGAGAAAGAATACACCTTTCAGCATCTACAAGTCCCTCATATGACCATAAAATAATTGCATAGAGCATACCCATTTAACTTAGAGTTTATGGCACATTAATTGGGTGGATTGATCTTGAAAATAAAAGTGAGTCAGGCAGGAAGGAAACTGTAGTTTCTACCTACCTTTAATTCTTTACACTGAACTCAAATAACTGAGATTTTTGCTGTCGCTATTTCCTAAATGCAGAATTTCAGAGTGGGATTTTGGTCTTTAATGTGAAGATACATCTATATTAAACCAGGAATCATTGTCAGTAACATTTAGACACGAAAATTTGGAAGATTAAACAAGTGTGAAGGTTGATCATGGAAATCAAAGAGGAAGGAGCATCAGAAGAAGGCCAGCACTTTCTTCCCACACCCCAGGCAAATGATGCTGGGGACTTCCAGTTCACAAGTAAGTATGTGTTCCCCTCTCTGTAACTCTCTTCTAGAGTTTAGGTTTTATTTTTTAGCATGACTTGCGACTTTTCTTTTCAGAGGATTCCTGTTGGCCATTTATTTAACACTGCCAAACATATGCCAAACCTTTCATTTAATTTACATTATAAAAATAATCTTTAGAAAACAGTATTGGTTGGAAAAGTTTTCTAAGAAATTTGGTTTTTCAAAGCTTATGGCAGTTGTTAATAACTTTAAAAAAAAATCTACACTCTTTGAAATGAACAGAAAGCTGCCTAATGATTGTCACTCTCGTTTCTCTTGGAAAGTCTAAAATTTTAGTATTGTTAAATGTCAGCAGGAATAAAAAATAAATGGTTACCATGCAAAAAAGTGTTAACTCTGGGGATGCCTGGGTGGCTCAGTCAGTTAAGCATCTGCCTTTGGCTCAGGTCATGATCCCGGGGCCCTGGGATCAAGCCTAAAGCCTCACATTGTGGTGGGGAGTCCCTGCTCAGCGGGGAGTCTGCTTCTCCTTCTGCCTGCCACTCTCCCCTGTTCGTGCGTGCTCTCTCTCTCTCTTTCCCTGACAAATAAATAAAATCTTTTTTAAAAAAAAGTGTTAACCATGTAAATAAAAAATAGGTGATTTTTATACACAGAGGTGGTTCTAACAATATATTAGTAGTAAATTTAAATCGTGTTTGGTAAATGTACCAATAGAAATAAACAAGAAAATTATTTTTGTAATGTTCTTACATTTATTACCAAATGGTTGACTTTTACATAAATTTTAGTTTTGCTTGTTTGGCCAGCCATAAGTTATAATAACTGGCATTTAAGTTCTCATCCACTTTTGTTTAGGAAGACTCCAAGCTGTGTGTGGCCATCAGATATCCACATTACCACATTATAGCACATTATCACTTACCACAGCCTGATCTTGCAACCTTCTAACCCCTGTATGTTCCCACCCTTACTTTTGTTCTCAGACCTTCCCTCCACTTCACTCTAAATCATTTAGCCATGTTATTAGATTTCTTAAAAATCTAGAAAAAAGGAATAAAAACATTTATCAGAACAATGATTTGAGCTATCAATAAGTTGGCAGAATAACTACCACCATAATGTCTTTCATCACCTTATTAGAGATAGCTCTTTAATTAATAATTTACTATTTACAGCAGGCTGGAGTGGTTTGAAAGAAAAGTCTATATAAGAGAGTACTTTTGTGAGGTCATCTTTTTTTAAGGTTTTGCCGCTGTCTACGTGCATTTAAGAGAAACTAACAATTGAAAAATACGTTTTAAATTTGTCAAAGCTGCAAAAAACAATATCTTTTCAGTTTCTTTATAACCATAGAGCTAAGAAGATCAGTCAAAACTTCAGTCACATTTAGTTCTGCTACAAATATTATGAGAACTGACAGCTTATAAATTTGGACAATTAACTGAGTTAATTCTTTCTGCCAAATAATGTATTTATAAATTCTGGGCAGGGTGAAGCATAGTAATATATATTGATATATTTTTGATTATGAGTTAAATATCTTTAATCTGGATTCTTACTCACTATTTATAGGTATTCAGAAGACTCCAAATGAACCACAGTTGGAATTCATCCTTGGTAAGGAATTCCATCTTATTTATACTGATAAATAGAATAATAATCTGTATATATAGTTTACAACCTTATGTTGCTTATATCATTATATCACTGCTTATATCATTATATAATTTACAAACTTTTAAGAACATTGTTCTATAAAAAAACTTTCATTCTTTACGGTGTTACTTTGAGGTGAGTGGCAGGATGGATAAAATAGATAAAGAAGATTAAGAGTACACTTATGATGAGCACTGAGAAATGTTATGAAATTATTGGATTGGGGGCGCCTGGGTGGCTCAGTCGTTAAGCATCTGCCTTCGGCTCAGGTCATGATCCCAGGGTCCTGGGATCGAGTCCCACATCGGGCTCCTTGCTCGGCGGGGAGCCTGCTTCTCCCTCTGCTGCTCCCTGCCACTCTGCCTACTTGTGATTCCTCTCTCTCTCTGTGTCAAATAGATAAATAAAATCTTTAAAAAAAAAAAAAAGAAGAAGAAATTATTGGATCATCATATTGTATACCTGAAATTAATACAACACTGTGTTCATTACACTTCAGTTTAAAAAAAAGCTGAGGGGAAAAAAATCATTCTATGTGATGTCACTTCCCCAATTTGTAAGTAAAGAATTTGAGCTGTAGAGTAGGTCAGTTCACTACCCAAGGGTATAGGGTTCATTGGTAACAGAGTTGTGCCTCTCAACCAGGTCAACTGACTGCAGATCTGGTGTCCAGCACTCATCCTAATACAGTGACTGGGCTTTGCTGCTAATCAACATTTCTTGAAATCTATGTGTTTATCTTCTCCTTGGGCTAGAGACTAGGCTCATATAGTTTTTCTTTAGGCCATTTACAAGGTTCCTGCCTCTTTTTTTCAATGTCACATACTCAAAAATCCCCTTTTTCTTCCATCTTGATTTTGTGGACAGATCCTTAGTATTTGAGAATTTAACTATAATTCAAAACTTTGAGTTTCTTAAGCAACTTTGAAGATCTGTCACATGTAGAAATGTGTAACTTGGTCCAAGGATGAGTTAAAAATGTGCACTCTGTGGCTGATCCACTGCTTAGCTAGTGAGTGGGACCTGCTTTGTGTCTGAATTTGGTATGACTGCAAAATGTCATTAGAGAATTAGCTGCAAAATGGTATTTAAAGAGGGTAAAAATATGGTTCATATGAACCATTTAGAGAGGATTTTTTTCTTCTTATCGTTCTAAAATGTTTTGAAAGCAATGAGGTTTTATAGAATCATACATACATGTATTCAATTTCCTATATAGAGACCGGATATCTAAATCTTTAAATGTGAATATACATGTTTTATAAAGTTATGGACAAATTGAAATATGTGCATTTACTATCTATAGTAGTTTTTAGTGATTTGAAGTCTCAATTATTCCAAGAATATACATTTTTATTTTATAATGAAATAGATTTCAAACTTACATCCTTTGCTCAAAATACTACATTTTGATGTGTAACTTATTGAGATAACAACTATATATAATTTTTTTGTTTTGTTTGTTTCTTCTAATAGAGTTTATTTCTAGAGCAGTTTTAGGTTCACAGCACAATTGAACAGAAAGTACAGAGGTTTTCCATATGCCCTCTGGCCCCATAAATGCATAGCTTCCCCTATCAGAGTGGTACATTTGTTACACTTAAAGAACTTATATTGACACATCATTATTATTCTAAGTCCATAGTTTACATTTGGGTTCATTCTTAGTGTTGTACATTCTATGGATTTGGATAATGTATAATGGCATATATCTATCATTAAAGTATCATGCAGAGTATCTTCATTGCCCTAAAAGTCCTGTGTGCTTAGTCTATTCATTCCTCTCTCCCCTAACCCTTGGAAACTAGTGATATTTTTTTCACTCTCTCCCTAGTTTTGTCTTTTCCAGAATGTCATATACTTGGAATCATACAGTATGTCACCCTTTCAGATTGGCCTCTTTCACTTAGTAACGTGCATTTAAGTTTCCTCTATGTCTTTTCATGGCTTGATAGCTTATTTCTTTTTAGCACTGAATAATATTCCAGTGGTGGGATGTAGCACAGTCTATTTGTCCACTCATCTACTTAGAGATATCTTGGTTACTTCCAAATTTTGGTAATTATGAATAAAGCTGCTTACAAGTTTTTGTATAGGCATAAGTTTTCAACATCCTTGGGTAAACACCAGGGAGCACATTGTTATATGGTAAGAGTATGCTTAGTTTTGTAAGAAATTCCCAAATTGTCTTGCAAAGTGCCTGTACTCTCTGCATTCCCACCAGCAATGCATGAGAGTTTCTGTTACCCTACATCCTCACCAGCGCTTAGTGTTGTCAATGTTCTGGATTTTGGTATAATTCATTTTTTAAAAACATTTTTGTTACAAATGTAGCTAAAAGGTGTTGTAAGTTAAGGATTCTAGATTTTTTTATTTTCCCTGGTATGAAGAAACAGAAATGTGAAAATTCAAGAAACTTCTGTGGAACACCAAAAAACTATACTTTTTTTTCTAGAGAGTGCTCAGATGGTATCAGATATAGAAAGAACTTGTTTCAGAAAGGGAGCTGAGGGCGCCTGGGTGGCTCAGTTGGTTAAGCGACTGCCTTCAGCTCAGGTCATGATCCTGGAGTCCCTGGATCGAGTCCCGCATCGGGCTCCCTGCTCAGCAGGGAGTCTGCTTCTCCCCCGACCCTCCCCACTCTCATGCTCTCTCTATCTCATTCTCTCTCTCAAATAAATAAATAAAATCTAAAAAAAAAAAAAAAAAAAAAAGAAAGGGAGCTGAGTAGCAAAAGAAATCTAGGTACCTCTTGACTCACTGTAACTCTTGCTACTTGAGCCTTTATCTATTCATCTTTCATTTTTAAGGGAAGAATTTTTTTTTTCTTTTTACTTTTTTACTAGGATTTCAAAGAGTAAAGATTTGTTAGAGTAACTTAGTGTTACTCTAAAACCTTCTTATTTGCATCTTGGAGAACAAGGTGAAATCTGAAGGAGGCAGAGACAATTGGAGGAGAGGCTGTTAGTCAAACGTGGAGGCCAGCTTTCAAGAGACAGGGTGCGTAGGCCAAATACGTATCTTCTTTTTCAAATAAACTTATCTGTCTTGTTCAAAGACCTAGCTATATTATTTTGTTTCAGAAGCCCAGTCAAATTCAATAGCAATGCTGTCGTTACTTATATTTCTGGCTTTAAATCATAGATCTAAGAGATGAGCAGCTGTGACAATTTATGCATAATAATATTCCTCCCATAAAAAAACCTCAATTTTCTTTTTTCATATTTATTCAGAAAAACCACTAGAATTTTTTTTTTTTTTTAAGATTTTATTTATTTATATGACAGAGAGAGACAGCGAGAACAGGAACACAAGCAGGGGGAGTGGGAGAGGGAGAAGCAGGCTTCCTGCTGAGCAGGGAGCCCGATGTGGGACTCGATCCCAGGACCCTAGGACCATGACCTGAGCTGAAGGCAGACGCTTAACGACTGAGCCACCCAGGCGCCCAAACCACTAGAATTCTTAACAACAGATAATTTTATCTTATCATATGGCAAAAAATGCCTTACAAGTAAACAAAGTTATTTAGAGTCTTCAGGAAATTGTGTTGTTGGTCCTGGAAGATATATTCCCCAAACTGTTTGTTATGCTTCTGAACATTTTAAAATCCTCAATTGTAGTATTTCTTAAAAAAATAAATAAATAAAGCCTTTTGAAAATACTCCTTCAAGGATATTACAATTAAACCCATGTAGGTTTTACTGTGTATTTTTTGGTACTTTTTTCTTTGAATTTTTTTAATCCCACAAATTCTTTAAGACTTCACCTGCTAACTAGCTAACTTCATAATAATGAGAGAATAATAGTTTCCTAAATATTTTTATCATTATTTAAAAATGCATATTTATTTAATCAAAAAAACAAGGCGTCTTAATACAAAAAAAAATTTTTTAAAGAATTAAAGTAGGAGGCTCTTGTTCCACCTAATTTTTCAACTAAATTTTTATTTGATTCCTGATTCTTTGCCAAATTATTCAAATAAATTGAGAATCTCAATGGTTTGCTTTTAAATTGGGAAAACAGCTATGCTAATTTTGCTAGGTGTCATATTGCTTTGTATAAGTTATTTTCCATTGAGGATTTGTTTCTGCTTTGTCTGTATGCCATTATAAAATCACTATATCTTGCTGAAGTTCCTCTGCTACATCTTTTTTTTTTTTTAAAGATTTTATTTATTTATTTGAGACAGAGAGAGTGAGAGAGAGCACAAGAGGGGGGAGTGGGAGAGGGAGAAGCAGACTCCCCGCTGAGCAGGGAGCCCGATGCGGGACTCGATCCCGGGACTCCAGGATCATGACCTGAGCCGAAGGCAGTCGCTTAACCAACTGAGCCACCCAGGCACCCCCCTCTGCTACATCTTTATTCAAGTAAATGAGGTAGGAGATGCTTAGTCAATTGAGCAAGCTAATTGGTTTAAAAATGTCTTGCTAACACAAGTTCAGCATTTACCGAAAAAGTATCTCAGGTCCATTGCCATTATATTTCTAGTGGTTCACTGAATTTAAATTATGTAACTCACCCTTACATCTGCAACCCTGCTTCCACATTTTTTCATTGTTTCATTTGAATGTGTTGATACCCTTTTAATGTCCACAAAGAGAGAAATAGTTGAAAACCCAAGAGAACACAGATTTTCTTACAGTTTAATAAAATTGTGTTGTTTTTTTTTTTTAAGATTTTATTTATTTGACAGAGAGAGAGAGAGCAAGCACAAGTAGGCAGAGAGGCAGGCAGAGGGAGAGGGAGAAGCAGGCTCCCCGCTGAGCAGGGAGCCCGATGCGGGGCTCGATCCCAGGACTCTGGGATCATGACCTGAGCTGAAGGCAGCCGCTTAACCAACTGAGCCACCCAGGCACCCCAATAAAATTGTTTTTATTTTTTAAAAAATAAGCATTTAAAAAGAGAGATCATGGGGTGCCTGGGCGGCTCATTCGATTAAGCATCAGACTCTTGATTTAGGC